ATGTCTATGTTGCTGGACTCTCATGTAGTCAACCGCGGTTCGAGTCCCGGACCCGGTAGTTTAAAATAACACTGGGCTCGTGTGCGTGCGTGCCCAAGATCCAGAGAGGAGAATGGAGGAGAAGGGATTGTGGCATGGCCATCCCCCCTGGGGGGTGATTTCTCACTTTCTATCTCTCTGTCTCTCTGTCTGTCTGGCGAGCGCATGTCCCCTATAGCAAAAAAATAAACCTCTCCCAAAAAAAGAAAAAAAAAATGATTGATAAATGTAAACAACTATGTTATTATATAATATGTAATCATTATTATATAATATGCTATATAACATATAGTTATACTTACTTATACTACTTATATAACAATATATGATCATATAATATAAAGGAATAAAATTTACACATAATGCCATCTAGGAAATACTTTTTACAAGGTGAATAAAGGGGTAAGTAAGTCAATGAGCAACAAAATGAATAAACGAATAGAAGAAAAATTAAAATTACAGCGGATATGACAAGATGAAAATATTTCTTAAGAGATACCGATAACGTTTGTGCCTGTTGATGCTCGGCTCTAAAATAAACTTTCTCATGTGCAAATTAAACTTACATTGGGATCAGCAGATGATGTAATGGTTATGTCACCGGACTCCCACATCGTTGACCACGGTTTGAGTCAGACTCGGCAGCTTAAAACTCACTCTGGGTGTGCAAGTGCCCAAGATTCCAAGAGAATGGAGAAGGGATTGTGGTGTGGCCGTCCCCCATGGGGAGACAATTTTTCACTTTTTTGTCTCTCTGTCTCTGTCTCTCCAGTGAGGGCATGCAGCCTACAGAAACAAACAAACAAAAAACTCTCTAAAAAATAACCCCATGGAATTGTTCCATAAAAATAGTCAAACTAAATATATTTTGTAAAATTTTCTACACTTCTCTAAAGTGGCTGAATTTTCTAGATATTTTTAAATAGCCAAGGTAATTTGAACTTTTCACTAGTACTTTTCATTTCAATTACCAAGCAATAATTCTTACTTACATCTTGTGTCTACAATTAACTTTGCCAACTAGGCTTCTACACTTCTTAACATTTATTTTTAAGTTTCTTAGAAAAGGCCTCACTAGCATTTGTCTAAGGTGGCCTTGAACTCTCAATCCTCCTGTCTCAACAGGATTACAATTGTGCACCATTACCCACAGCAAGGTATCTACATTTTTAAGAACCTTTCCTAGTATCTTAGAGAAGATTATCTTAGTGTTTCTTAAAATGACTATAGCTGATACTTTTCCAGGCCGAGCATCACATTAGGGAATTTAGTTTTCCTGCATGAATGTGTATTACCAAGGAAGTGATCTAAATTTCTTAAAATACAAGACAGTTGAAAGTCATCAAAATTCTTTTAGTCTTTTAAACTCAGATTAATATAATAATTAATTAGATTAATTGATAATAAATTAAATTAATTCGATTAATTAATTTTATAAAAACTTGGATTGCATAAGATAATTGTCTCTTATTCTTTCTTCTGTAGAAGAAACCATTATTTATTACTAGAATGTCTTTAAAACATTGGAGAGCAGGGCCTAAGAGTAAGAAATATTAGCAGCCATCTTATAAGACTACAATACTTTCATTTCACATCTGAATGACCCTAAATAAACTAAATATGCACTGAATTCCTTTTGAGAATCAAAGATTTTCTCCCCTGCAAATTTCTTATCTATAATAATTTCATCGGATTTCAAAGTTGATTACTCTTTAGTTCTGCCTATACGTCATAGTTCCCTGTCCCAGTATTATGGATGCTACTACGGTAGGCAGATTCCAAGCTAGTTTCCAAGATTCCATCACCTGGTGTACATATCTTGAGCTATTTCTCCCTCTGTATGTGAGCAGGACCTGTGAATATGATGGGTTATCAGTCTTTTGATTATGTGCGTTCACCAGAAAGACAGAGAGAGACAGGGAGACAGAAAGTGAGAAATCACCCCCCAGGGGGGATGGCCATGCCGCAATCCCTTCTCCTCCATTCTCCTCTAGGGATCTTGGGCACGCACGCACACGCGCCTGGCGTGAGTTGAAGCCACCGGGTCCGGGACTCAAACCGTGGTCGACTACATGGGAGTCCAGTGACATAGCCATTATGCTAACCGCTGGTCCCCAAAAGAAATTTTTCAGATATAATGAAGGTTGCTAAACAGTCAAACTTGGATTAAAGGGAAAAGGATATGATGCTGGGAAATCCTGACCAAATCAAATGAGACTTCAATAGAGACAGAAGCAGCAGCAAATGCTGTGTTGCTGGAACGGAAGGAAGGAAATGGGCATGCTGGGAACGCTCCGTGGAGAAAGGCACCTGGAAAGAACCTACTTAGTGGTCTCAAGGAACTGGGAGAGATCTTTAGTCAATACACAGCAAGAAAGCAGGGACCCCAGTCCTTCACTCAGAAGAAATCAAAATCTACAAACAACCTGGGGACCAGTAGTTAGCGTAATGGCTATGTTGCTGGACTCCCATGCAGTTGACTGCAGTTCAAGTCCGGGACCCAGTGGCTTAAACTCATGCCGGGTGCGTGTGCGTGCGTGCCCAAGATCCCGAGAGGAGAATGGAGAAGAAGGGATTGTGGTATGGCCATCCCCCCTGGGGGATGATTTCTCGCTTTCTGTCTCTCTGTCTGTCTCTCTCTTTCTGGCGAGCACATGCACCCTGTAGCAAACCCCCCCCCAAAAAAATCTACAAACAACCTGAGTGTTGTAAGATAATCTCAAGCTAAAGATGAGACTGTGAACTCCTTGCCCACAACTTGACCTAGCCTTGCAAGATTCTGAAATGTGAGCTCAGCTCAAATGTCTGATTTACAGACATTGTGAGAGGATAAATAGGCACTGTCTTAAACCACTACGTTTGCTCATTTGTTACTCACCAAGAAAAATGTTAATATGATTTTCTGCCTTCAACATGAAAAAAATAAGAGAAACATTATCTGAACACTTTCCCAGAAATTAGTAGCTAAATATTAGTGTATAGATGTTACGAGAGAAGTAATTATATATAACAATTAATGAGTACTTTTTACAATGTACCAGAATGCATGAGTGCACAACAGAGGCACACAGAGGAACAGGGAGAGCGAGAAAGAATTGTGGTCATGCAGCAATCCTTCCCCTGCATTTCTCCATCTTGTTGGGATTTGGGGCTTGTAAGCACACGTACTCAGTTTTTTCCAAGTTGCCGGGTTCAGGAATTGAACCACTCAGCCACTTGGGGCCAAGTCACTTTAACCACTAGGCCACAAATATTTTTTATGTGCCATGCATTGGTCTAAGGTTTTTATGTGCATTAACTTATGTAATCACAAAAATATATTAAGACCATATTATTATTTCAGATCGAATAATCCAAAGAGTTCAGATAATTTGCACAAGATCTCATAGCATAAAATGAGGGTCAATCCATCTTTTTCTGTCTCCAACTATTTATCTGTCTACCTAGCTGGAGAGCTGTCTGTCTTTCTACCCTCTCTTAGTTCACACATCTTTCTAAAATTATTTGAAGTAACTAAATTCAGCTAATGCATTGTAGTGTCCTTTTCAGTAAAGATAAACAAATGCAATGTTTGCCCTCAATGATACAACACGGATGTGCCTATAGATGCGATTATATTAACCATCTATATATTTAAAGATCTGTGTAATCTATACTCATATAACATTTTTAACAATTTATCTGTTCGGTAAATACATAAATCTACTTGCTTAAATAACATTGTAAACCTTCTTTACAATATTAGGGAAAATACACTTGTTATAAGAAGGTGATAATGTCTAAATGTTTTTGACTATGCTCATTTTGAATGCAAATTATATATAGCGAAGTAAGTTGATGTTATTAGTTGATAGAGATGCTGCTTGATTCATTTGTGTGTAATTAGCTCATCTACAAGTTCAAGTTGCTAATCTGTGTTAGAGTATAAAAATGCTCATAATCTTTTGCTGTTCACTCCTCAGGAAGAGGAATCTATTTCATCTTTAATCTTGTAGCCTTGAGACTTTTTTTGACAAATAAAATTATTCCTTCTTTTCTTTCTTCTTCTCTTTTTGGTTTCTTCTTTTTTTCTGTATCATCTTTCTTTTTTCTCTTTCTTCTCTTTCTCTTCTTCCTCTTCCTCCTTCTCCTTCTTCTCCTCATGAAGGAGAGACAAACATTTTGACCAACAGACCAAGAAAGTACCCTCCAACCTGGTCTCAATGCAATACTTTTTTTCTCCAGTTCTCCATGCTGTCAGGATCCTAGCCATTCACATGCCAAGTATGTTTTGTCAAGTCTGAGACTTAAACTCTGGTCTACCCAGGTGGTATCTGGCTTCCTTGCATGGAGTCTAATCACTTTACTGTGGGGCTGTCCCAACAAAAATAACTTTTATTTTTTTTCACGGTAACTGCATGAGAACTTTATTTGCAGGGTTGGGGTTGGAGGATGAATAATTTGTAGCTTAAAAGTCTCACCCCTACTTAACCAATTTACAAAAGTAAATGTATTAATAAGTCAAGGTTCTGTAGGATAAGCTGATAAGGGACAACGCTCAAGAATTTAAACTCAGGAATTGAATGATATGAAGTTCACCCGTCCTTGGGAAAAAAGTACATTTCTTGGCTCTGTTGAGATGAATGGAACTTCTGGTAACAAGATCAGCATGTTTTTGTACCAAAGCGAAAGCCATTTGCGTTTTCAGAATCCAAATCAATGGCAGCCACTTGTCATTGGGATTTCACCATCCTCTGGGGATGCAGCCTTCTCCTGGGCTGAGCTGTGGCCACTGCCAGCTCCCACTGTGCACTCCAGCACTTAGGTTCCAAAACCTGGCCGACCATCAGCACTCCTGGCTCCAACATTCAGCAGCTGGTGAGCACTTGCTAACTTGCAACCTGTGTGAACACAGCAATAAGTTCACAGCAACCTAGCAATCAAACTCATCTGGCACTAGGTGGTGAAGGCTTGTTGATCACCATCAGCCAGGAGTAGCTATCGTCAGTTATCGCTTCTGACAGCACTTCCTATTACAAAAATAATTTCAATTATTTTTTAACTTTTTTTTTCAGTGAGGTTTTTGCTATAGGGCGCGTGCACTCTCCAGACAGACAGAGAGAGAGACAGAGAGACAGAAAGCAAGAAATCACCCCCCAGGGGGGATGGCCACACCTCAATCCCTTCTCCTCCATTCTCCTCTCGGGATCTTGGGCACACACGCACACACGCCCGGCGTGAGTTTAAGCCACCGGGTGTGGGACTTGAACCGCGGTCAACTACGTGGGAGTCCAGCGACACAGCCATTACACTAACTGCTGGTCCCCAAAAATAATTTCTTAAAAGCAGTTTTATTATAATTCTAAGTAAAGCTGCAAGCTTATTCTTTCACTATAAGAATTATGCAACATCCATGTGAACAAGCTTAGCCCAATGGAACATGATAGACTACATAAAGAGAGGCATCAGCCATCCTGACTGTCACCGTTGTCCCATTTCAGCCCATAATACACTACCCATCCCAACTTAACTAACCTTCAAGATAATAATCCATCAAACCCAAGTAAGCCTTGTGTAAATGGCCAATATGGAATCATGAGCAAAATAAATGTTGTTTTAAGACATGTTCTGGAAAGGCTTATTGGACTGCAAAAGTTGACTATACAATTTTCTAAATAGCAAATTATTGCCAAAATTAAATATATACACATTTAATTTTTAATACACTAAGACCTTGAGATAAATAATAATTGAATTTACCAAGAATATGTCGCTTATTGATAGGTTAGCAATCTTAGTAGGTCCTAAAACCAATTATTTCATAGAATTGGAATTCTCAGCAAATTATATAATTCTGCAAGAGCAAGATATAATTGTCCATTTAAGCTAAATCATATTAATGAATTTAGAATTAATAGATACAATATATGTATATAGGTATGTACATCACTATGTTAACTATTAACATATGCAGATATAGCAAGAAACTATGAATATTAGGACGTTTTTATTTTTATCCGTGTTATTTTGTAAAACTCAGCAAATTTATTTTCTAAATTGAGTGACTATTTAGTGATATAGTTTTGCAACTCAATATGAGTTGTTTAATCCTAACAGAAGCAAGTCAGACTATGAAAGAGAGGCATTGTATGTCCCTACATAGTACATACTGAATGTCTGCTCCCTATGGCAGAAACTGAAAGATTAGAAGGCATGAAAACATGGAAAGCAACTGTGGATACCAGAGTCAGTATGTGGGAGAGGGTGTGAAATGGGGGTTGAGGGAGCAGGAGAGAAGCAAGGGGGTAAAAAAAAAACAAACTTTCAATAGACAAACAAATGGGAAATTGTTGATGACAATGTGTATGGTAATTTTTTTGTCTGGATTAACATACAAGGTATTCATGATGGAAAAATTCATTTTCAGTGTTGTAAAGATATACAGTGATTATAAAAAATAAGAAAAACATGTAAAGAATAGAAAGAAAACATCTCAAGACTTGTAACAATAGAGATGAAACTGAAAGCCATTTCAATAAGTGATATAGGACACACAGAGAAAGATAAATGCTGCATGATCTTACTTATATTTGGAATTCAAAACATTTAAACTCGTAGTAGCAAAGAGTAGAGTGGTGATTGCCAGAGACTGAAGGGTGGATAAGATGTTGGTGATAAGACACTCAGTTTCAGCTTTGCACAATGAATATGTCCTGGAGGTCTGATAGACATCACGGTGACTATAATTAATAATACTCTCTGCATTGTGTACCTACAACTTACCAAAGTGGTAGATCTTGAGTGCTGTCACACAAAAGGAAAAAATAACATAAAACAAAAATAGTGACTATCTGAGGTTATGGATATATTAATTACCTTTATTTTGGTAATTGTATATATATGTGTGTGTGTACACACACACACACACACACAAATAAATTATACAATCTTAAATTTACACAACTTCTAATTGACAATTAGCCTCGATAAAATGAAACATCACCCAACCATTAATTTATCTATCCATTTATAAGTACTCAAAAATATAGAAATATTTTGCAACTAAAACATGTTGAGAATCGTTTGCAGGCTATGCAAATACATACCAATGAAAGGAATAATGTTTTCTATTTACCTAAGCTTATTCTTGAGACTATAACCATAAACATTTTAAAAGCCAATAATATTGGGACCAGCAGTTAAGCGTAATGGCTATGTCGCTGGACTCCCATGTAGTCGACTGTGGTTCGCGTCCCAGACCCGGTGGCTTAAAACTCACGCCGGGTGCGTGTGCGTGCGTGCCCAAGATCCTGAGAGGAGAATGGAGGAGAAGGGATCGCGGCGTGGCCATCCCCCTGGGGGGTGATTTCTCGCTTTCTGTCTCTCTGTCTCTCTCTGTCTATCTGGCAAGCGCACGCACCCTATAGCAAAAACCTCTCCAAAATAAAAAAACAATAATATTATTTCTCTATCCAACAGAAAATAAACTTATTACTGAGAGATTAACATACTTTATATAACTTATTTATTTGTTTGCTTGTTTTACTATAGGCTGTGAGCATTTGCCAGAGAGAAACAGAGAGAGAAGGAATATGATAAATAACTCTCGAGGATGGATGGCCACTCTGCAATCACTTCTCCTTCCTTCTCCTTTCAGAATTTTGGTCATACTCATACTTGTACCCAAAATGATTTTCGAACCACCAGGTCCACCAGATCCAGGACTCAAATCATGACCTTGCCATGAACAAAACAGCTCTCTTAACCTCTAAACCACCTGCTGGCCACAGAGTTTATATCTTTTAAGGTTTAATTATTTATTTCATATAAGAAAGCAAAACGGGCATTCTCAACAGAGTCTTCACACCTTAACTCTCCCCCCAGCCCTGCTGCCAGAATCAGCAGTGTCTCCATGATGCACCCTACGTGTTCAGGTAGACCAAAGATGCAAACTCTGAGTCTTCCCATAGGACTTCCAGCATGGCCCAACAGTGACTCTACTGGTTGCACCACGACAGCTCAGCTTACATCTTTTCTTTTATTTTCGATTTCTTTGTAATGTATGGAGTCTCAAACTTTGATGCAAGTATAGCTGAAACTAACATAAGATATTTGAAATGAATGGCATAAGTAAGCAAAATGAGACTCTAATTTCTTCAGCTGAAGATAAAGCAAGGCAGTGCAAAACTATGTTTATTTTTGTTATTTGCTAGAAATTGTGTGAGCTCACTGTAGAGAGACAGAAAGAGAGAGATAAGGAAAACGAGAAAGCACCCCCCCTAAGTGGGATGTTGATGCCACAACACCTTCTTCTCCATTTCTCCTTTTGGTATTATATGCATGCATACACATATGGCTGATGTGGTTTTTAAACAATCAGATCTAGGACTCAAAGTGTGCAGTTGGTCAGGAGGAATCCAGTGGCTTGAATCATCCTTCCACCAGTTGGTCTAAAACACTATATTTTTTTAAATATATACTTGTTGGGGGACCAGCAGTTAGCATAATGCCTATGTTGGTGAACTCCCATGTAGCTGACTGTGGTTCGAGTCCCGGACCCAGTGGCTTAAACTCACACTGGGCGCATGTGCGTGCATGCTCAAGATCCCAAGAGGAAAATGGAGAAGGGATTGCGGTGTGGCCATCCCTCCTGGGGGGGGGGATGATTTCTCGCTTTCTGTCTCTCTGTCTCTCTCTGTCTTTCTGGCAAGCGCACATGCCCTGTAGCAAAAGCCTCTCCCCCCCAAAAAAATAAAATATATATATATATATACTTGTTGGGACCAGCAGGTGGCATGGTGGTTAAGTGTGTTGGACTCCCACATAGCCGACCATGGTCCAAGTCTTAGACCTGGTAGCTTACTTTCTCGCTTTCCCTCTCTCTCTTGTTCTCTGGTCAAAGTAAATAATTAGAGAAATAAATGAATGTTAAATAAAAATAATTCTTTTTTTTTTAATATATACTTGTCAACATATAACAAAAGAAGAATTCTATTAATAGTATCTACACAATGGTGAAATAATGACCTAGAAGTAAACCCAGCAAATATGTACTTGTGGATTAGAACACATTTTTTTAACCAGCTGGCTATTAATAATTGATTCAGAATAATTTTTAAATCTAGAGAAAATGCAAGTATAAATATTATAGCCAAAGTTTTGTTATTTCAATATTACATTAAAATTCAAAATCACCCTGGATGGAAATTTCCATCTGGTCTCAGGTACTTCATTGTCATTTAATGATGGAGTTATTACTGAATGTGTCCGTTACTTAGGCTGGATAAGCATACATCTTGTATATTATGGCCAGCTAACTTCATGTGGCAACCTGAAACTCTGCTCAAGAAATCTAACTCTACTAGGACCCAATATGTAGCCAAATGTCATTTCACAAAATAAAATAGTTACATGGGTAAGAAGCATTACCTTGCTTCAAAAACCAAGGGACCTGTTGGGACCAGCAGTTAGAGTAATGGCTATGTTGCTGGACTCCCATGTAGTTGACCGTGGTTCGCGTCCCGGACCCGGTGGCTTAAAGTCACGCTGGGTGCATGTGCATGTGTACCCAAGATCCGGAGAGGAGAATGGAGGAGAAGGGATTGTGGCATGGTCATCCCTCCTGGGGGGTGATTTCTTACTTTCTGTCTCTCTGTCTTTCTCTGTCTGGCGAGCGCACGTGCCCTGTAGCAAAAATCTCTCAAAACAAAAACAAAAACAAGTAAGGGGCCTGTTGTGATCCCATAGTCTCATACAGTACAGGACCTGCCAGATTCTTGGAGCATCACTAGAAACATAAGGGCCTCAGATCAGAGCTGCTTTTACCAAGTAGAGGTGTCTCTCTCTCTTTTTTGAAGTCCTACTACAAACTGGAGGTTTGTTACTAAGTCAGATGGAACGAAGGGGGGAAAAGTGACACATTGCCTTCACAATGTAAACAACTCCTTGAAATACTAATTGGCCACAAAAAACAATGAGACTTTGGCATTTGATAGAAAGTGGATGACTATGAGAGGTTTACTGTTAGGTGAAGGAAGCCTGATTATGAAT